CCCCCCCCCGCGCCCCCCGCGGCCGCCGGCTCCCCTTCGCAGATGCCCCCCGCACGCCTCCTCCGCCCGCTGCAAGCGTCAGAAACTCCCTTTTCCGAGCACTTGAGTTCGGAGAGTTGGGCAGTTTTGCGCTTTTGGTTCCGCGTTTCCTGGGGTCGAGGGAGAGCCGAGGGCGGGCTGCCGGGCGAACCGAGAGCGGGGGCAGGGCCTCGGAGCCAACGGCTTGCACCTTCGCAGCCAGACTTGGCGTTGACGAAGGGCGGCACACGGGCCGGGTGTGTGGGACGGGGACAGGGTTTTGCTGTGCTCTGGAGTTTTGACACACCAGCTCGATGTCCCTGATGAGTTGGGTGTGTTGCTCGTGTGTTTGAAAGGTGGAGACAGGAGCGGTAGGAAAACTGGTGTGGCTACATGCTGAACCACATGATTTAAAAATCTCAACTGCTGTTATTCTTTCCGAGGCGCGGAGCTCTGGTGCTGTTGCAGTGTGTGTCCGGACCCAGGAATGTGGTGTGACGATCACCAGCTCCTGCAACCTGGCAGCAGCATTTGCTGCTCTTTTGGCATGGTTGGGGGTGGGGCGGGGTGGGTGACAAAACTGGATTGGGTCATTCAGGTGCTTCCTTAGAAATCCTCTTTATGGTAGGATATTTCCAACAGTTTTTCTAAACACGACAGGAGCAAGGAAAGAAATCGAAGTAGGGATCTTACCCATCCCATGCACACTTTCAGAGTCTATATTTCTTCAGATCGTTCAGTGGAAAGCCTTTGGGTTTTGGAGCCCTGCTCTGTAATCCCAGATTCAAATCTAGTTTAGCTGTGCTAGCTCACCAATAAAATAAGAATGAAACTACCTAGCTAATAGGATTAATTAAAAGAATGTACATGAAACTCACAGCACTCAAACCGTGTTGAGAGTCTTTTCAAGCAGGGCTGTGTTTTATTCTTGCTGTGTTCTACCCTTCCAGTGGGAAAGTGTCTTGTGCGTTTTTTTGTGAAAGTGAAATCAGGAGCCCCTTCTTTTCCTGAGCCTAAACTGAAGGAAGACCTTTACCAAAAAACTAGTACATGAACTACATCTCTTTTCAAAGAAAAGGTTAAGAGGATAAGAAGCTTCAGAAAAAAAATATGGTCTTTGTTCATTGTTAGCAGGCAGTCAACTGCCAATCACAGATGTTTGAGAGAACAAGGTTGTTTATCACCTGAAAACCGAACTGGCTTGTTCAGCACCAGCCAGATACTTGGGGAAAGTTAAACCTTTATACACCTCTACGTCCCTACAAATCTCAGAAGTGGACCAGGAGGCTGTGTGATGATGAAGCAAAACTGTCGTTTCTGAAGCATTTAATAAAAAGCATGTGATGGTATTTCTGCTTTTTTCTTTGAGTGAAAGTTTTAGTCTATGTGTAGAATAGAGAGGAGTATAAGCAGCAGGATAGTCCAAGGATTATTAATCCTCGGTCTACCATTAGCTTGTTTTAGTGAGTAACTTCATCTTTATGATTTGTATTCTCCTCACCTATGAAACAGACTAAAGGAATTACTTACTTTAGAGAGTTGTAGGAAATAATAAATATGATCCCGAAGTGATTTCCAAATTTAAGTGTTACAAGATAC